GAAAGAGATCTTGGACATAAACACACATGAGATGCTGCTGCTATTTTATGATCCAAAGAACTGATTATTTTTGGCATTCATTTCAATAATGGGCTATGAAGGAGCCTATTGTGATCACATATTAGGGCTGTAACATCATAAATGAATAAAACATCTTGGCCTTATTGCTAACACCAGCAACGGCTGCTCTCTGTAGGAACACAGAGCATCTATTGAAAGGAAAGAACTAAGTGTGACAGGCTAAGCCAAGGCCACTTCCAAGCCTCTAATACTACTGTGAGGGGGAAAAGAGAAGGGTGATTGGCAGATATCAATGTAAAAGCACTTTGGGTTATCCCAGCTACATAAAGCACACCTGGTACCTAACCAGAAGCAAAGACTTCAATCAAATGCTTGATTCATTCATTTGCTTCACAAAAACTTTTGCTGATGAGAGCCCAGTTGTAGCAAAAAAATCAAGCATGTTAAGAGAGAATTTTGTAAAAAACCTAGTTCTAGCACTGAAATGCATCAAGAGATGGTGTTCTTCACAACTGAATTCATCAGTTCCCTTTTTTTATACCCACTTTCTCCACTTGGCATCAAATCAAAGCAAAGGCAGGCTTAGGGCAGGCCTTGCATGAAGTATTTTTCTTTAGAAATCTAACAATACAAACTAGTAGGAGTCATGTTCAAAACAAGATGTAGCAGAGCTGTTATAAAAGTGTACAGGGATTCAAGGGAGCAAGAGGGAATGTACTGCAAAGAGAAAGCAACCACAGATTATATCTAGTAGAGGAAATCTAGAATAAGAAGTGTTGGAAGCTCTGTATGACAAGCATTTGCAAGCAGTGCATGGGCTTTTCTTACCTCTTGCTTCCCCACATCTCTGGTTTTTGGAGGGTGATAAATGGTCTCTTGGTCTGATCCAGTACAGCTGCTATTAGAAGGGGTTTTTTGCAGTTCCTTTGGTCTTCCCAAATCTCATTTTTCCAATTCTCCTCCAATTGTTATTGATGTTATTTAGGAGGTGCTTCTCCTGTGACACTTCAGGTGAATATACATGATATTTGCACGAGACCAATCCCATTCTCTCAGCTCAGGGCTGTAATAATTTCACTGTGGGGAAAAACAAAGATCTAACTTCATAGGATTTTTAGTTTAGTTGACTGATCACTCTACAGTTTCAGTAAGTTATTACAAAGCAGCACCTAGAACAGAAATAACAAATACAGTTTATGAAACTTCCAAGTATGTTATTTGCAAGATATATAAGCTTACAAAATATTTAAGCCTGCATTACTCACTGTATTCAGGTACTTTTAAAAAGGGGCATTAGCTCTGCAGAAGAAATAGAACTCAGCATTCAGGATACTTTTTTTGACACTTGTTATTCCACATCTGACTCAAAAACTGTGAAAGGAAACATTGATGAAAACATACTGAGGTTTGTAGGTGTACATTCTGTAACCACTAAAACACAATCTAGTATGACAATACTGATAAGTACCACTTCTTGGCCCAAAGTGTATCAATAGTAAAACCTCCCCTTGATAAAAAGCAGTTGGGGAACACTATGCATTAAGAAACAGCAACATTTCTGTTACAAACAACTCAGAGACAACATAGTGTTTAAGGTCAGTCTTTACATTTAATTTTTGACCAGTTTTTTCCAGGCCTTTATCAGTGTTTATGGTTAAAAAAAGTAGGGAACTCTGAGTAACAAAGCAGAGGAAAGCATAAAATTCAATGACATAGGTCTCAAAATAACCCCAAATTTAACCAAATTTAAAGCTAGCCAGCTTAAGCAGTTCTAGCAGTTTGTGTGTGTGACCAAAATGGAATTTTAATATGCATCAGAGTTTAAAGCCAGTGAACACTCTACTCCCACAACAGCAAACACCAGGAAGCAAAGGGTTTACTGCAACACTTTTAAAATTGGTTTTGTGCATGCAGGTGTCCAGCACAAAGGTGCTGTGAAACCAGAGTGCTACACCAGTGTGTTTCCTCAGGGTATGCTCAAGTTACAGCTATGTCATATCACATTGTCCTCATGTAAAGTGTGAGAAGAACAAGATGATACAAAACAGAGGTGCAAGGCTGCTAGGGCAAAAAAGAAAGCTTATTGCAAAGGTGTTTGTTCCTTGGCTTATGATCCTTTATGGCCTGACCTCTCTTGAGTAAATGTCCTGAACTGAGCCTTCCTGCCCCTGTAACAGTGAAATACCTTATTTTTGACTCATGCAGACTGGATGGTCACTGAAGTCAAGATAGTATTATTTTAGGATTCAGATTACATCTCATTTTTCCCTAAGTGATTCGTTCACTTGACATCACATCAACTCTGGGACATTTGCATCAATAGAAACAACTCAGAGGTAAGTCACATCCCAGTGAACTCCATTCTATCACAGTGCTCATCTCCACAACATGAATAATTCACCTTCCCTAAATCACATCTTGGCATTCAGTTTTAATCGAGCATTTATTGATTGAAACTTCCTGTCAGCAGCAAAACTTAGGCTTCTCTAACTGGGAAGATTAAGAGCTTTTAGCAGGTTATATTCAAGTCTATCTGCAAGCAGGACCAAGTAGCAGCATATTGCTACTCGGTCTTAGAAGCCTGCCTGAATGCCACACTCACAAAGACCTCTTTTAAAAGCAGTCACACTGCTTTCATGGCTGGAAATTAGGCAGAGCAACCAAGCTAAGAGGCTAGAACAAGTCCAGTCAAGAGCTGAGCCAGAATAAGTTGAAGGAAAAAGGGTGAAAATCAAACAGGGACAGCAAACTATTGTTTCCTGACCACATGTAGTCATCTGTCAACAACTACTGCTGAGGAAAATCAGGTTTTCCTCAAGTATGGATGTTCAACATATTTCAGTACTATGCAAGGTGACTGTCCTAATGCTTAAACACCACCTGCACAAACGAGTTGTGCACCACAGCCAAGCTCCTCAGACCCAAAAAGGGACACAGGCACTCCCTCTCTGCCCACCTGTGTTTTATTAGCTGGAAGTAGTAGGAATCACCCTGTAATTCCTACACTGTGAAGTGCAAATAAGTAACATGAACACAATTTTGGCAAAGACTTAACCTATTTATATCAGTGAAACAACAGATTAGTATTATCGAAATCAGTATAAGATAAAACCAAAACACAAAATATAGAAAGCCATTTTCATCCTTGATAATGATTAAATTACTTTTATTCCCATTTAAAATATACAACTTTGAAAAATTATGCAACATACATTCAAATGAATTGCATTCTTAAGTGTCCTGCTAGCCAGATATCCTGCTACTGGCCAGAATAATACAATAATCTGTCAGCATTGTTCAGTTATGGCCACAGGAGAAAAAAATCTGCATCAATAAATATTTATATCTAACATTGCAGCTTTTCCTTAAACACTTACAATGAGAAGTCAATTTCAGTAGGCCTCTTTCTCCCAAGCACTGCTTCCTGTTCCTATGGGAGAAAATGAATCCCACAAAGATCCCAAAAAGGGAAAAAGGATGTCTTAAGTCAGCTATTTCAGAAATAGCAGTCAAGAGTCAATTCAGCAGTCTCAGAAATAACCATTAAAGCTAATATTCCCCCCCTAAAAGCAGTTCAGGAAAGCTCACTAACAACACCACACTCTTGATGGTCTTTTAGTCATTTGAAAGCTTTAGAAAAATCGATACAAAGGGTATCATCAGTACAGCAATACTGTTGCAGATACTATTAGGCAAGGAGGCAAAGCCTACAGCCCCCTATAAAAGCACCACTACAGAGAACTCTCTATGGCAGGGAGTCAATGCACTGGAAAAGGACACACTGATTTGATTCAACTGCCAGTAAGGTGCTGCCTGCAGAGTACACAGTGCAGGGTACAGCACTGCTCTGCCCTGAGCAGCTCACCCCCACAACTTCCTGTTATTTATAGGACACAAAAGGCATCACAGGCATTTTGGGGGCTCCCCTACTCGGCAGAGCCTGAAGTCTTCTCTAATCTATGATAGACAGTGGAGAAAGAATGACACTGGAGTGGCAGTGAGTGATGTACAGTAGGGATTACACCAGGTAACAGGTGGGCAGGAAATAAGAACAGGAGGAGAGAAAAGTTGACTGCTAAATTTTACACTGCATCAAATGCTAGAAAAAATCGTAACTTGCAGTAGCCCAAATTTAACTGAAACCAACATCATCACTTCTGTATCAAGACTGCAGAGAAAAACATTCACCACTTTATAATAAAATCCAGTTCTGGACAGTTTGGTATGATATCCTAACTTAGCAGAGAAAAATCAACACAGGGATTTTAAAGTTGATAGTTTTTATTTACAGATTTATTGGCAAAAGGTGGTGGGAAAGTTTAAAACATTTTCAACAGGGGGCACCGTGTTGTATTGTATGATGTATCAGTTCACCATCTTCAGGATCCAGCTGATCAAATAAAGCTAATCACCACTTAAAGAAATATAATCTGCATCAGCTCCATTAGAGGATCCTGCCTGAAAACCACTTCAGGCAGTTTCTAAATCAGCAGAATCACTAATAGAAATGCAGTTCTTGTGAAGAATATACTTCGATTTTGATACTGTACCCCAAAATTGCCGCTTATTCTTTCACACTGGCAAAGCAGTTACACTTCCTACTTTTAGTTAAAAGTTATAACCTCATTTTCTGCAGATTCATCTGCTGGGTAATTCTGAACTACTCTGAACATTTTACCATAAGCATAGTCAAGACTGGAGTAGATGAAATTGAAGGAAAACATTCCTGGTATGTGATGTGCCCATCATTCTGCTGTGTAACCATAAACATCCTGTTTAAGAACTCTATTCAGAAGGAGAAAAAAATTGAGTCAGTTTCACTTTGTCACACAGACTTAATTCCTCACTTCAGCTTTTTAGTTCATTCTTCTAGATCAAGAGTGTTTAGTTCTTCTTCTAGTTCATCCAAGTCCTCTCCAGTAAAAAGATTTTCATCAACTGGAACTGCGTCAATTACTCCATTCTCCAGCTCCCCATCTCCATCATTATCTTCCTCTAATTCATTTTGCTCACTGCTGTTGATATCACCACCAGAAGCTTCACTTAATTTATTATCTGAAAATAAAACAATGCTTACTCATTTCAGTGTCACAAGTTTTTTAATCACCAATGCAATTCACAACCCTATTGAACATGCTTTCAGGTTTTGCAACTAGGAAACTACTTCATTTGGAAAATACATTAACTTCTATGGTTAAATTTCATGTACAGGATTAACATGCAGGTCTTGATCATCAGTTATGAACACAGGCTAAGAAAATAAAACTCCAGCTCCTCAAACTCCTATTTTCATAACTGAGTCAAACTTAAGCTGCTCCTACTCAAAGTTAGCACTTAAAAGACTCTGGGTCTTAAAGATTAGGGCATGCATTCCACAAGTGCACCAAGATCAAGACCTTGCTCTAAGCAGTTACAAGCTAGCTAGAAAAAAAACCCCACAAATAAAAGCTTGGCTCTTTGTTTATATTATTCATTCAATGATATACAAAATCTGGGGAAAAAAGGAAACTTAGAACAAGCACCTTAGAGGTTTACCTGCAGTAGCTATAAATACTACCTTTTATTTAAACTCAAATTCAAGAAAATAAGTAAGTGGCAATTACTACAAGCTTTGGCTTTAGTAAGTACATGTACCACTGATAGAAAAGAATTATTGGTCTGCTGAAAAGAAGCATTGGTTTAAAATGAGTGGAAGAGTAAAATTACTATCTGCCTTTTGTGTCAGTGATGCCTAATTAACGAACGTACCATCTTTTTCTCCAGAGTGGTAAGTGCTGAAGCGCTCAGGACTAGCCACTGTAATACCAGTCTCCTCTACTGCCTTGGGGACATACAGGTTCAGGTCTACATCATTTATGCACACAGGGTCTTCCAGCTGAAAAATAAACCAAGATGCTCGGCATGAATTACTTGTCCACAGAACTTCTCACTTCTGCAGGATTTCTACAACATTTCTTTCATTTTCAGCATGAACACTTTGATAAAATACACTCTGGAGCAGTACTCAACTAAGAACTAAGCTGATGCACTGCACTGTAAGAGCTCTCAAACTCGAAGTTTTCAAACTTGAATGCAATTGAAGTGTTACTTGATTGAATACTGTTCTTTACCTCATCATCATCTCCTGCTCCTTGAACATAATGGGTGTCATCTGCCTCTTCATCATCTGCATCAACCAGTTCTGGTCGGAACTCAAACACTTCACGTCCACTGATCTACTCACAGAGAAAGAAATCTTCAGTTATCCCTGTATGGAATTAATACTAATAAAACTCAAAATACAGAAAAGCAAGGAAAAGGGAAAAAAAAGGGAAGCAAAGCAATCCCAGGGCCACTACTTTATAATAGAAAATTATTTACTCTGTCTTCTGTCGTTAAGAATTGAATTGCAGAACTCACCACCAGTGCTTTGCCTGCTTTAAAATCTGCTTTCCTCCTCTCCATATCTTGTTCAGCCTTATCAATTTTTTCTTGTCTTTTTCTTCTCTTCCATGCAATAAAACACTCTAGGGTAATTTTGGTAACATTTGGTCCTAAGGCAGCACGCTGTCAAATAAAGAGACTGATTAATGTTACAAACTGTTTCCAAATCTCTTTTCCAGAAACTAACTGAAAACATTCCTTTGCAATTCCCTCTTGACTCTTACCACTGTTAATGCACCAACATTTGGCTCAACGTGTGGTTTTCCACTTGGTGCAATGAACCAACATGAAAGTTAATAGAAGTGGAGGAGGAAAGAAACTAACAGTAATAGCTCAGTTCTCAACTTGACACTGCCGAGTAATGGTGACAGAAATAAGCAGAGCAGCAAAGCAATGCCTGCAGTAGGCCTTGCTGCCTTCTCATTGAAGAGCTATGGGAGAACTAAGCAGACAGTGAGCTGAGGATGAGAAAGGCCAGAGAAACAGTTGTAACAGATAAATGAGAAACAGCAGTAAGAAATGCAAGTCTCCTAAAAAAGGACAAGCAACAGCTGCACTAAGTACACAGCTGTAGTCAACTCCATTCACTAGGTAACAGTTTCTAAACAAAACCATGGATCAGTACTATGTATCCTTTGCAGCAGCTCACAGAGCTATAAAAATATCTTAAGAGTTTTTAATTACAAATTAGCAATTTTTTACATCTGTCTCTTCAGAGTAACACAGACAACTACCACCAAAAGGTACCTGTCAACTTTACCTCTTTTTCTATTAGATCTTCTAAAGAAATTTCATCTTGCTTTTCCTCCTTCTTCTTGTCTTTTTTCAATACAAAACCTGGAGGCAGAGCATGGCGATACATGCAGTTGTCTCCTCCTCCTGGACAGACCCAAAACCACCCGTATTTGTTGTTTTCAATAGCATCCAGGAAATATTTGCAGACCTGTATAAAACACTGGTTGTTAGCACCATGTTCTTTTCCTCCCCAGCATTTCACACTACATGTGAGAAGCACAGTAATTCCACGTCAGTTGTGCTCAAACCAGGAGGAACATGTGAAATACATTGCTGCTAAAACAAGGAGACTAAGTGCAACTGATTATCTAAAAGCTCATGTAGTCAGCAGCTTTTACCCTCCTTAATATAACCTCAATTTAAAAAGACAGGATGACTTGGAAAACTGACAACTGTGTACTACTGTAAACCCAGCAGCACATCTCCCCCGATCACAAAGATCAGTGGAGCTTTAAGCAAAATAAATTGCATCTGCCTCAGATATTAAACCTTCCAGCTCACAATGCTGAGGCAGATGCCATTCTGGGACTTTTAACATAGTTCTCAATCATATCAATGTTTACCTTCTGCAAATTTAGGCAGTATCAACAGACTACTTAATCACCTGGTATTGAAAGCAAGCTCCTAAGAATGAAAAAGGGATGAAAACATCACGCCATTTATTGTAAACTAAACAATATGATTGAACTTAGAGCCCAGGAATTACAAACTAGTAAATTCCAACTTACAGTAGAAAATTTTAAAACTTATAATGCTTGTATGTCACCCAGTACATAAATAAGCCAATGTATATGGCAGTGACTGCAAAGAGATGAGAGACTTAACTAATCACAATACTTGAAATACTTCCAGCCCAGCTGTCCACTCAGAAAATTCTTCTGATATTCCATTCAAAATCTTTAGACAATGATAAACATACCTAACACCACTTAATTCTCTCTCCATTAATTATTAAAGCTCAATTAAGAAAGAAGTAAAAGACGACATACTATTTGGGTTTTGGGCTTTTTCTTTTCCGCCTCACCATGCTTCTTGTTCACCACTTCTTCCAGCTTCTTCTCATCCCAGTTGTCCATTGTATCTAGAAAAAGACAACAGATGGTTTCACAAGAATTCCAAATGCTAAACACTGCTGTCAAGTTGCTTTTCTGCCTAGTAACAGTTTTAACATGCAATTCTTATATTTTACTTAGCTTATACAATGGAAAATTAATTCAGGCTCTCAAAACAGTTTTCAACATCTCCTGTGCTGCTCACAAGACAATTTGCTCAAAAGCCTTAGAAATTTGTATTTTGAACTGCATAAAATGTGTTTCAGTTAGAGACTAAATAATGTGTCAGTCCACCTGTACAGTACTGACTGTGGACCAAGAAAAACAAGAAAAAGAAGACTGCTGAATAAAAGAGAGGGTTGGAAGGTAACATCCAGAAGTACAGACAATACAGCTTGAGGATTGAAGCAGATACCAAATTATCTGTGTTAAAAGAAGGTTCCATCAAAAGAAGCAAGATCACCACTGGTATGGTCAGAACCACAACACAGAAGACTCAATCTTAACATACTACTTTCAGAATCAGAATAGCTTAGTAGTAATTTCTTAGAAGTATTTTACCTCTTTCAAGGTCTTCATCTCTGGCATCGATGTAAACACTTCGTTTTTCACACTTCCTTTCCAAAGACAAATCATGAGAAAATTTGCACTTGTCTCCCTTAGTGCACTGTCCTTGCTTGAAGAAAGCACAAACTACAGACTTGGGGTCAGCACCTGAGTGGAAAGTTTTATATTTTAATACTCTTTTTAAGCAAAAGCTATATATTAGAAGTTCTGAGAACAGTATCTAGGATTTATAGAGAATGAAAATGTGATTTTTTAAATAAATGTTATTTAATGTGTTCATCATAAGTAAACATGTGTGTCCTAAACATGTCATACTTCCTTTTATCACACGATATCTGCATTAAGTATCAAAGACCACAGACAGCAGTGTGCCTGAGCCAATTATTCATTCATATAATACAATACAGGAGAGATCACTCTGTGCAAATTCTTCCTTATACAACAAGCTGTTCTTGCCTCTAAGACACAGTAAAGCATCTTCCGGATGTCAGCCTTTTCCCAAGAGATCACTATACACCAGAACAAATTATAATAATCTAACCTGCACTTATTCAGATCACTTTTTTTAGTAACAAAAATAAGAGGCTGCTCACAGTCCCCAAAACAAGCAACTTCTGTTACAGAATGAACAATTCAATCAAACTACAGTTTAAGTAAAAATTATCTCACTGAAGAATTATTAGACCATTAGGAAGTGAGAAACGAAAGCAGATAGAACTGATTTTATGAGACATGACTAAATCAAAAATACCTTCCTTGTAATATTAAGTGCTCAAGTAAGATCTGACACTCCAGTTTTTCACTTGCTGTTTTCACTCTTGGTGAAAACAATGAATACAGTATGTACAGAAACACCTGTCTAAAACGTAAACTAAAAATCTGGGTTTTAAACAGCAAATGGATCCCCAGGAGAACTTCAGGTACTGTAGCTCACCTGGCTGGCAATCTCAACAGAAAGCCAAAGCCTTAATTCAGACAAGATTAGTCTTCTAGAATAACTCTGAGTCAAAAGCTTACTTGATTTGGAGAAAGCTGACCAGGGCAGATCATGAACAGAAAACTGCCCTTTGTTGCTGATCAGCATCACAATGAGCAAATAGCAGGTTTGCTTTAAAGACATACATGGAAATCACACTTCTTTTGTTAAAAATTCTTGTGCATAATTTCATTAGTTACAGAAGACTAATAGAGTTGTTAGCACTCAATTCATTCCTAAAGGTATGATTTGTTTCCTCCCACGTCAGCCAATTGTAGAGTTTCCTAGAAGTGTCAGACACAAGAGGGTTGTAAGAAGAGCTTACATTTCATCACAAAACTAATTTGTTCAATAACTGTGCTCAAGACAGACCACACTTTCAAAACCAAGTGCTGCTGCTAGGTGTGAGGTCAGGCAGAAGTAACTGGAAAGCATTTATTGTTCTGATGTGAGTACAAGTTTTCTGTGAAGGAAATACTTAGCTTATATTCCCTGCAATACCTGGATGATCATGGCTCCCCAGTGAAACAGGCTGCTTTAAACAAACACAATCACACACAGGAAAAAACTCATTCCACACATCCAGAAACACCTAATCAATGAACATGAACACAGCAAAGTATCTTCAGTTGCCCTGTCTGATATAATCAAAAAAGCAGGTCTTGATATTGTAATGACCTAGCGACCCCAGATGACTTCCTAAAAAAGTGTCAAATCATTACTGGCAAACTACTTGGTACACTAGATGGACAATGGAACAGTCACATCTACTTGATGAAAACATCAACTGGTGTTTTTGAAGGGTTATTTTACCTCAAGTAGATACATGAATTAGGGAACATAAATGGAAGTGAAATCCGTTAGTCATACCTTTGCTAATTTTCTGTGCAGCAACCACAGGCTTGAAGAGCTCATTTAATTCTTGTAACTCCTTTTTCTTATCTTCTTTCTTTAATTTCTTCTCACTTTCTGTTTGAGCAGCCTGTAATGACCCCAAATTTGAAATCAGAAATATAAAATTAGAATGCCAGTACCCACTTCACAGCAACTGTATGTTAAAACAGCGAATCATTCTAAATTATTTTACAAGAGGAGGAAGGAGAGAACATGTGATGTCTGAAAGGCTCAAAATTGCTCCCCTTACCTGCACAGCCAGTGTCCCCTCAGCAGCACTGACCTGTCACACCCAAGGCAAACTAGCCAGAGAAGAGATGCTGGCAGGTAGGTTTAGGGCCACAGTTACCTCTATTGCACCTTCAGAGGTCAGGAAAACCAGCTGCTCTTTTGCAGTGCAACTATTCAATGCAGTTACTTCCAGATCTATGAAAAAAGTCTCTTATTTGCTTATTACTTATCTGCTGCTTTGCTATTTCTCTCCATGTATACCAGTAGCAATTCCAGGAAATCTGCCCATAGAAGTTGACAAGTGCTTTTAGAACTATATTTCAACTTATATCAAGTCAACCTATCAATGTTTCATTGCTAACCATTGGTTTATAAGCAAGAATGTTCTAGAGGTGCTAGAGGCTAAGGACTAGAAAAGAAACTAACCTAGGAAAAGTTTGTGTATAAGGAAAATGACACCTGACTCTGTCCCATCCTTTTTGGATAAGCCAGAGAAAGCCTGTAGCTGTACCAGAGTGGGATGAAAACAGATTAGAGACAAAATTTGCACATAAACCCCCCAAAACCCAAAGAAAATAAAAAAAAACAACCCCTAAAGCAACAACAACGAAGCAACAGAAAAAAACACGCCAAAACTTTGATAGCATTTCCATTTGCATCTCAGGACACAAGGAAAATTGCTACAAAGTGTTCTTTGTTTCTCAGGGGCAACCCTAACTGAAAGCTATCTTATAAGGTAAGAAAGGTACAATCAGGTCTAAAAATTCACTTCCAGCATGCATGGTATCAGCATTTGAGAAAAATTATTTTAGGCTGGCTAGTTTACATATTAGTATTCCTATAAAGGTCACAGATCCAGGGACTTCAGACACAAGTTTCAGAAGAACTGTTTGAATAACACCAGTGATTTTGGACTGACATCAAGGAATCTTTTCCACTACAAGAAATTACTAAATCTAATGACCTGAATGTCAACTCGACTTCTCAAGTTGTACTTGACATCTGTTCATCCTTAGACTATGCAAGGAATGTATCATGATATCACCAATTTAACTGATGACAATTTAATTATTCTACAGGCTTATTCATAGAACAGAAACCTCTGTCAATAATTAACTAGCCTCCATAGCACTGTAGGAATAAGAGACCTGGATCATTTCCATCATAATATTTTAACTAAATCCATGCTTTCTGATGAAGTATAATCTACATATTACATGTCATTTTATTTCATCATAGGGAAGAGCAAAGTAGAAGACAGTGGCTCAGAATTTCAGATGCAGGTTTGTCAGATTTATTTCCACTTAAAATTATAATAAACACTTCCATAAGGAGCAGAACAAGCACACACAGGCTTATACTTTGTCTTCCCCCAATTCCAGATTTAGTAACAGCTGTTCTTATTTTTAATTGTTCACTATTTCTCAGATAAGATGGCAATTAAAGAAAACAAATACCCCTTCTCTATGCTCTGTACCTTTACACAAGTACATCATTTTCAGCTGGACAAGCTTTGCAAGAAGTATTAGTTAGACCTTTGCTAGTCACAACACGAGACAAATAACAGCTCAACTTTTTCCTCCTTCAGTACATGACCACCTGTATGTACAGTGAAAGATGGTTTGACTATACAGTGGGAAAACACTGCACAATAAATACTTACCTGACGTGGATTTTGCTGCCCAAACTTAACCTGGTGAGTCACAGCCTTGATAAATTTCTGTTGCTTTGCCCCTTTTTTATTCTTTAGGCCGAATGTTTTGTCCTAAACCAAGAAATAAATACAGCAACATTAATTATAATACAAAACCAAACAAAACAACAAGAAAACCAACCTGGTCATGCCTCTCAGGTTTTAAAGTAACACCTGAGGAAAATACGAAGACTCATTGGCCATAAATACTGCCTTTTTAATTCCATCTACCTGAAATCACTTATTACTTCCATCTTCAAGAGTTCACATATAAATGTGATATATTTGTTATGCAGATGAGTAATACTACATGTAACACATTGCTTCTATTTTCAAGTAGTGTAAGGTTTTCGTTTTCTAACTGTACTAACTTGAAGTCCTTCCCCTCCATGAAGTCCTGACAGGTGTTTGTACTTCCTGAACTCCACTGCCAGAAGTGTTTACTGCCTGAACCAATTCCTCCTCCACATCTCAGTTTTATTAAGGTTTCTATACCAAATCTGTTAACAATTTTGTACCAAAAAAAGAAAAAATACAGTTCACTTCCATGTGAGTATTTGAGGCAGAAATTACTTTTTGTAACTGAAATGAGAAAACCTATCTGTGTCTTTGATTTGATACCAGGAAAAAGTAACAGATGTTCATCCAGTGATAAGATGTCCCTTCAAACATACTTTTGGAAGCCTTAACAATGTATTATAAAAGAATTACAGAACGAACAGCTCCAAGTTTTCAGAGTCAGAGTATTTTCACTTACAACATACCCCCCACCAACAGCAGCTGGTTACTTTGTGCTGATTTGAGATGTCTGTAATTTGTCAAAATAAATAGTTGGGAAAGAAAATCTATCACTCACACGCTTGACTTTCATTGTAAATGCCACATGGAACACATAGTCCCTGCGTATTTTAACTAAATAATAAGTTATTCTTCGTGGTCAATGCAAGCTTCTCCCTTTCTTGGTAATAAAAAGCAGAATTTTCCAATGCAGCTGCATCCAGCAAGAACCTCAGGAACTCTGAAGCAAGCAGAACACAAGACCAACCACTACGAACATAATGTTGCCAAAGAACACAGAAACAACATTCTGTAGCCTCAAATTTGAAGGAACTGACATTACACAGACACTGCCTGAGCAGCTGAGCCGCTACTATCTCTCAGGCCACAATAAAATCGGGCAAACGTTTAACG